TTCGAAAACCGTATTAAAATTAACCTACCTCAGATTATTTTTGCTGAAATTGTTGAAACCGTAAATCTTGTTCCTAACAAGAAACACTGTTCATCTCTAGTTTACGGTTGCTTTTTGAGTAATCTGTTTTCCAAAGCTGGGCTTAGAGTCGGTCTAGATGCCGTTTTTCCTCTTAAGAAACAAATAAATCTTCTTTCCTTAACGAGAGCGGGATGGGTAAAGAACAAAGAAACCAGTGAATGGGTTCGATCTTCTACTCCGGGAGCTAGTTCTTCACAAGCTCCACCCAAAGGTGACGAAGATCCCGAGCTTGAGCAATTAATGCAAGATATTGATGAAGCCGAAGATGAGCCTGATCAGCCCGAAGAGCAGCCCGAGGAGCAAGCACAACAAACGCATCAGATGCCTCCATATTTTCAATCCTTTATGGAGACATTCGATTTCCGATACGCTACCATGGACTCGCGCTTTTCCTCTATAGAGTCTCATTTATCCACAATGGGAGCTCAACAATTAGAGATTCTTCGGGAGATGCGTGCAAACAATGAATCTACCAACGCTCGTATCAATGAACTAACTCATGAAATGGCTGCTATGCGAGCCCGTTTTCCTCCTACCGATCCGGATGCTTGATTTTATGTTTAGCTTTAAAACTTTGAACAAAATGAATATTGTTTCAATATTTTGGATTGTTTGATTTTATGGATTGTTGGATTTTAGATTTATGAATAGTGTGAACTTATATGTTTTATTCATTTTTGCATCATCATTAGCAATATGACCAATTTTTGCCATATCACATTATTTATGAATATTGATGAAACTAATGGCTAACCTCTCTTTTGATTGTGATCTTAGCATCTTAAGCTTATAATTAATAAATCAATTGGCTAAATGATTTCAAAACCTTGTTTTACAATGTCTTTTTGATTTAACAAAAAGGGGGAGAAGTGTTAAATGTTTTACATAATAAATTGAAGAAGTGTTAAAGTAAGGGGGAGTAATTTCAAAACTTGATTTCAAAAATCTTAAAATTACTAAAATGTTTTGTTATATCAAAAAGGGGGAGATTGTTGAAACATTTTGATATTTCGATATAACAAATTAAGTTAAATGGATTTTAAGATTTTCCAAATGATTTTCTAAGTATATTTGATATAACTATTCGAATATCAAAACATTACTCCAAATATTTCAAAAATCATTTCTAATCCTTACTTAAGTGTAAAATTAAGTTTTAATAATAAAACAATTTCAAAATAATTTTACAAAGTATTTCGAACCAATTTAAAGCCAAAAATTCCAGATTGCTCAGAGGGAACCGATTCCCCCCATAGGAGGAACCGATTCCCCCTGAATGGTTTGGCTCCGAGATTTCCAGAATGCTCGGAGGGAACCGATTCCCCCCAAGGGGGTACCGATTCCCCCCTTGTACAACGGTCGAAATATTTGAATTTTACACTTAGGGAACCGATTCCCTATGAGGGGAACCGATTCCCCCACGCTCCAAGCTGTTTTATTAAATGTTTTCACACTAAAACGGCTATAATATCTTCTCTAATCATCCCCAACGTTCAGAAGTGATCCAAGGTGTATTTAAACAAGTTCTGAAGCCCTTGATCAGCAAGAAAATCATAGAGAAACAAGAGAGAAAGCATCAAACACAAAGTTTGTGCAATTCAAGCCAATTTTCATTCAATATTCATTTTGCTTTCAAAGAACACTTATTGTGCTCATTTGTAATTTTCTTTGAGTGTTCTTTTCTTGTTCTAGAATTGTGCAAACATCTTACCTTGTGAGGTTTTCTTGTAAGTTTGCAAATTTGTAATCTTCTCTTTGAGAAAAGAGTGTTCTCAAGAGTTGGGGTATACTCTTGAGGGAATTGTAAGGTTATCTCTTTGGCCTCAAAAGAAAGAACAAATTAGTGAATTTGTTGGAAAATCCTTAGTGTGGATAGCTAAGGTAGTGGACGTAGACTTTGTTTGAGAAAGTCGAACCACTGTAAATCGCTGTGCAATTACTTTCAATTTTCTGCAAAAGCTTCCACAAAATTTTTATTGCCAATTCACCCCCCTCTTGGCCAATTTCGTCATTCGATTAACTCAACAGTATTGTTTTGATGCTTATGTCATTTTTATGCCATGTCATAACACCGTTAAATAGTTAACGACAAAGTGAGCAAAATGATTTAATTTGTAAAGTTCAGTGAGCAAACTAGAAAAATAGAAAGTTGGTTGAGGAAAATATGAGAGAGAGTATAATTCAATCAATAATGGTGTAATTTACCCTATCTATTAATAAGGATTGAATTACACCCTTGTTATTAAATTAATTTGAATATTTCAATTTCATCCCTAAATTGTAACTTTCATTTTAAATTAGTCTTCACAAATTTGAATGTTCTAATTTTATTTCCAACTATAATTCTTATTCTAGAATGATCCTTAAACTATTGAATCTTCCAATTTCATCCATATATATATAATTTATTTCAAACATAAGTTAACCTAAATTAAATGATTTTCAAACATATAATAATATAATTTGTTTTGATAATTTTATTAACAAAAAACATGATTAGTATATATCAATAGTTTGGGATGAAATTAAAATATTTAAAAGTTTAAAAACCAATTTGAAATAATGGTCATAGTTTAAAAATAAAATTAGAACATTAAAAAATTAAAGATTAATTTAAAATGAGTCATGATTTATAGCCACTATAAATTTATATCGTCGCCTGAATCAAACCGATGACTATGCCATCTAAAACTCTTAGGGGTGTTTGGTTTAAGGATTGTAGATTCCCATGGGATGAGAATCCCACATTCCCATGTTTGGTTGGCCGGGAATCTCATTCCCGGTAATGTTTTATTACCAATAGTAGATTTTTTGGGTTATATTACCGGGAATGTCATTACCTCCCTTCCCTAAGGTATTGTAACATTACCGGCGTTTTAGACTAAAATGCCCTTAAATTTTTATTTTTTTTCAAAAATATCTTTCTTCTGTCATTGAATAATAAAAATTCTACGAAGGTTAAATTACAAATTTATCCTTAAATTATTTTAGATTTACAAAAAAAAAGTCTATAATTAAAATTTTTATATGAATTTCAGGGATTAAAAAAAATTACCCTTTCATTAAACCTTTTTTATATTTTTAATTTTGTAAAAAAAAACTATATAAATATTATGAATTTAATTTTTTAAAGAAAATATATAAATATTTTACAATTTGTAATATTATACAAATATATAATAAGGGCAATTTGGTCAAATATTCACACCAATAATCTTTTATTCCTTTAACCAAACACGGTAATCTTACATTCTTGCTAAACCAACCAAACACAAAATACAACATTCTCAGTAATCCTATTCCCTGGTAATCTTTTATTCCCACTGGTAATCTTACATTCCGTGAACCAAACGCACCCTTAGCGGTTGTTGGATAGCATACAATTTAGAATTTTTTTCTTTCTCTAGAGAAATTAAAAAATTTAGAGTACTTCTAAAAGAAATTTTAATAATTTTCATTTTGAAAAAAAATATATTAAGACACATGTAAAACAATCTTTAAATGATATTTTTAACTAACATTAACAATCTAATCTTAAAATGGTATAATTTGAACCTTTTCCAATTTTACGACTCTTTTTATAATTTTTCTTAGTTATTAATTTTTCATTTTTTTCTAATATGGTTGAACCAGGAAATGGAAATCCACCCAATTCTGTTACACTATAGGGAAAGGGAACATCCAACATATAAAGGGCAAAGATGCGTTAATAAAGCAAATACGATATCCGATATCTGGGAAGGATAGGAATAAATAATTTGGGACAGCTGAAACGGCAGAGCTCGAGCAGACGTTGCATCGACCCTACCAAAAATGGCAAGCCAGATTATCTCAATTTCCCTGAGATTATCTCATGGGATTTCCCCCTCAAGATCCATCATCTAGCAAGCAACAATAGAGAAAAACGAACAAAAGCAGGGATTTACAAAACCAGAATACGTCACACCCTGAAAATTAGAAACATAAAAACACTATTACGAGCATATTTCACCTCCCTGTTCTTTGCCCTGTACAGGCCTTTCTTCTCTACGTGGTCATTGTGTAACAAGTGCATAGTGTCCCCTGGATCCATCGTTATATTGTTTAAATATGGATAGCTAACGATCTATTGTGCCTTTGCTAAGACAGCCCTCACAATCCGCTCACCAATGTTGTAGGAAAATAACCAGTCTATGGGCAACACTATAAAAGCAACTAATAGCCCAACTCCACTACCTAAAGCTTCCAAATTCAAATACAGGCACTACATGTTGCACAGACCGGTTGCTGTCACCCGGAAAAGCTACTCTATGAGCACTTTAGATGAAGAAAGCAGCTAATAGTTACACTACTTCACACGACTATGAAGATTATGATCCCGATAAACCCACCAAAACTACCTAGATTTTCCGAAATTCAAACACAAATACTATAAGCGGTGGACTTCAACTGCTATTACCAGGAAAATCATTCTATGAGCAAACCATGTATGACGAAAGCAGCTAACAACTACCCTACACTACCCACTGATGCAGATTATGAATTCGATAAGCTCAAATTCGCATCAAGCTTCTAAAATTCAAACAAAAGCACATGTTGTTGAGTTCAAAACCAAGAATGTAATACAATGTATAATACCTACACTAAAAGCTAGCTCTCTCGACCAATGAAGATCATGAAAAACATCAATAACCAAGAGAGACCACATCTAAGCAGACTCAAAATGCAATAGGAACAACAAAAGACCCTGAAAATGAAGAATACACATTTGACGGGTTTAGCAAAAAACTGCCATTATAATTCAAAATCCACCTGTAAATTAGTGGAAATGATACGAATAAACATTAAAATATTCAATTCTCAGCCACCATTGATCTACAGATCCACGAAAAAACAAAATGAAAAATCATAAAAGACCCAGAATAGTTCAAAAGCTTAAATTTCTTGAAGAAACGAGCAAATCACGTACCATGATATAACAAAAATAAGAACCCTTAAATATCTCATCGAAACAGTTTCAAAACCGTCCTTAGATTAAAAAAATTCAAAAAAAATACATAACATTAAACATATTGTTCCAATAAAATGTTTAGAACCTGAGCTTCGTAAAAAACCACCTGTTTTTTCCAGTCTTGAACCTCTCTTCGAACCTCGCCTTAGTTGCCTTACAAGCGGCCACCTTTTTGTCCTTCGTCAGGAGAGCATCGACGGTGACCACATCTTTCAAGTCCACGTCGAGGGTGTAGCGCGTAGGCATCAGGTGCTGGTAATTGACGAGCTTGACGAAGCACTTGACGCGTGATTTATTGGCTGTTTTCTTGGCTGAGTCCTTGCGGATAACCTTGCTCGGATACTTCTTTATCCCTGCAACCAAACAGTGGCCATAGGGGCGGTCACGTGTGCCATCGTCGAAAGATTTAACAATGACGGCTTTGCGACCGGCGTATCGTCCCTGGAGAACGATAACAGCCTTGTTTTGTTTCAGAAATTTCACCATGGTGACGGCAGCAGCGACTGCTCTGATTCTCTTCTCCCAAAAACCATACGTTAAGAAGCAAAAACGAAAATGACGTAATATATACTGTGAAACCGTAGCTCTTTCGGATTCTCTGCGGGCTTGGGCTGAAGATAATTATGGTGATTTTTTGGGTAGATTCTGGCGGGCTTGATTAGATCCAATTATTTGGTACGTGTTCCGTATATTAATCGTTATGTATTTATATCATCCTATAATGTATATTGATATAATTATTTATACGTTAATAAGTCGTATTTTATATATTGTGTTTTTTTATGTGTTCTTATTATTATTTTTATCAGTTTTCAGTTCAGCTAATCTTAATTTTCATTTTTTATATTAATTTTAAATTCCTATATTTTATAGTTTTTTCAATGTTTTATTTTTTAACAAATGTTTTTTTTCAAAAGTTCAAATACTTTTACCATATATGATATAATAAAAAACAATGGATTGTGACAAAAATAGTTATATCTATATAATCTAAATTTATTTTTCATTAACAATGAAATTAATTTATTCAACCATAACAAGTATATGAAGAGAGAAACAAAAACTGTTTGATATCTCCATTTTCATAAATAATAGAAAAACCAAAGGCTACATAGCTCCGAGTGTTGATGAGAATCAAACAATGGGGATCAATAAACTCCGATGAACGTAAAAGCTGTGTGTAAATCTTCAAAAGCATGCATCCAGAAGGCAACAACAGCACAGTGCAGCAGCACTGCAGAAAAATAAAAATAAAAAACACACATATTCAAAATTTCACCCCCAAAAAGAATGAAAAAATGGTTCTGAAAAGACTTACCAACCCTTCCAGAATCCATCACCTCTGGACTTGGTTTCGACAGCAACAGGCTTTTGGGAATAGTCGCCTCCGTTCACCGGGTAACCGGCCGGCTGTGGAACTACATAGGGTCCTGCTGCTGCTGATGGTGGTTGGCATGCACCTGAAACAACAATTCAACAACTAAAACCGGAATTAGTCGCTGGTTTCTGCATCACTGCAATAGAGATCATTATTAAAACTCCCTCAAAGAAACAAAAAACGAGCAAGTAAAGGGACCTGAAGGTTGATTGATGTGCTGTTGCTGGTTATGGTTCATCTTAGAAGTTAGTTCGAACAAGCGGGAAATGAAGATGTGTGCTTTCAAGAACAGAGAAGAAAGTAATTTATATGGGGGAAATTTGGTATTGTATGCATATATGTATATTGGGGGGTTTTGCTAGAAAGTGGCATTTTCTCTTTGGAATTGCCGTCGGCGGCCGGCGGGGGTAACCACATGTAATCAAACAAACATCGGTTTAGTCGTCTCCTTCCCTGGGGCTTTCTTATTTTAATATACTCCATTCTAGTAATTTTGGCTTCACCTTTGGCAATTTCATTTCTTGCTTTTGGTTTTTTTAAAGTTAAATGTAACGGTGAAATTATATTTTAATTAAATAATAATATAACGTTATAACCCAATATAATAGAAAATTTGTGTTTTGATATATATATATTGTGAAAGTAGTTTGTTTATAAATTTTCTGTGCTAAATGTCCAAATTGTGTAGAAAACGAAGAAAGAAAGAATATATCAAATTGAAAAGTCAAAATCAAAGCTATTACGAGAAGAAGTAATATGTCAAATATGACTATTTACATAAATTAAAGCTATTTTAATTATTTAATTATTCTTGTAGTTACATGAACTAAACGACTTTAGTGGTTAAATAATTTGTTATTGTCCCCTGAGGTCTCAAGTTCAAGCATCACATATGTTAAGAGTATGAGCGTTCATTGTCAAGTGATTGGATTTTTAAACCGACCTTAGTGTCTAGCGTTTTCTCTGTTATACTTTTAAGTACCTATCGTTAAAAAAACTTCATTAGTTGACATGTGTCACATTTATATATTTTATTTTAAAAATAAAACTCTTATCAAAAAAAGAAAAAAAAATTAAAAAATCCCCTCCCCCACGTCGTCCCCTCTCTCCGCACCCTACTTTCTCTCACTCCCATCTCTCCCAGTTCCGAGGACGAAGGGTCACTACTACTTGAATTTTGTTCGGAACAGGACGAAGAATTCAATAGTGGCAGTCATGTAATTCACAGACAACAGGAGCCATCGGAATCGTCGAAAAAAGTAAATGAAAACTTAGAATTCTGACAACACTTCGCGGTGCTTTCCATGATAATCGATTTTGGTTGTGATGATAAGACGGTTATGATGGCATCAACAGTGATGATTACGGACCAATGATGACTGATCGGTGGTGGAGGAAACAATAATATGGGATTTTAAAAAAAATATATAATATTAAGTGTTTTTTAAAATAAATTTTATATGCGTGACACATATCAGATAACAATCAAAATTAACGAATATCACGGTCTATGCACCTAAAAGTGTAATGTTGAAAACGTTAGACACCTATTTTTAAAGAAAAATTCTTTAAGCACCTAAAATTAAATTTGAGTATAATTTGGGCACTTATTTTTATATTAAACCAAAAAAAATATTCTTGTAGTTTTATTTTATTCATCTAATTATTTTTTAAATCATTCTTAAAGTTATATTTTGATTTCATTTTGTTCACTTATCGTTAAAAAATAACGGTAATGTTAATGTGTTATCATAAGGTAATGATAAGTCATAGTTGAAAAATTTATCATATTAATAGTTTTATTTATTTTTTACGATGAGTGATCATAACATGATCAAACCCAAGCTTTTAAGTATGATTTAAAAAAATAAATAGTTAGGTGATCAAGAGGAAATCACAAAGGTAATTAGATGACTAAATGTATAATTTACCCTTAAGCATATATATCTGGAAGAAGAAATCTGCAAAAGTGTGTGATGGAAGCATGCGGGGAACGAGATGGAAACCCGAAAGCCAAGTGTGGGTTTGTTGTTGGGATTTAAATTCAGGATTACGTTTGTTCCTTGTCTTTTTCTTCCCTTTTTCACTTCCTATAATCACCAAATCCAAGTTAAAATTATATATTTAATTACATAATAGTAGTGTTTATTACACTAATATCTTCTCTTTTGTATTGTCTTTTCTTAACTACAGATTGACTTTGTCGCAATAATAACAGTAAAAATTCAGACATTTTTTCGCAAGTATTTTGATCCTTCTGTTTTTTTTAAAAAAAAAAAAAAAAATTGGTATTGTGATTCCACAATTGTTTAATGAAGCAAAACTTGATACGATTAGACAACTTTTCAGCTTCAGCTTAGAAGATCAAACAAACTATAGAATCATACGTCAACAATTTCTCGAAGTTCTTCAATTTTTAAATCTGGGTATTCTCGACTTCCAATTTGTTTTTTTGGGTTTTATGTGGGTATGGCTGTTTGCTCCTGTCTTTCTTGGTTCACTTATCGTCTGCTTGCTTGAAAAAGATGATAATTATGTGAAATTCATCGTTAATTTGGAACTTCTTTTGTTTAAAATAGACTTTTCTCGATCCTGTTCAGCTAAGAGTTAGTTATAAGCATCAGTTAAACGATCCTACCGACAGCTTTGATAGGAACCATATTTTGTCGTTCATTTTCTGTTTTATTTATTTATTTATTTATGTTATGGGTATTTCTAGCATACCCATGGATCATTTGGATAACTTGGATTTTTTTTTGAAGTCATTCTTTTAGGGATTTTCTTTTTACTTTTGATGATTTTGCTGTTAAGCCTTTTCTGGGTCACCTTTTCTGGGTCATGAATGATTGTTAGTTTTTGAATGGTGTTCTCATGCTTGATTTGGATGCTTCCCAACCTTTTCCTATCGGTATGGTAGATGGCTTAATTCTTGCTATCCCGTGTTTTATTGGCGGAATGTTATTATCGAGACAGAATGAGTGAAGGCTTCGGTAACGCAAGTGCAAGTTCCAGCTCAAGTTTGAATAGCAGTTTCCAAGATACAGAGGATGATCAAGCCATAGCAACCATGTTAGCAGAAGAGGAGAAATTGCACAACAATAGCAAGCTTGGAAAAAGGCTTTCCCATCTGGATTCCATTCCGGTATAATCATTTCTACCTCTTATTTGTTTGGTTGGTCGCTTTGTTGAAGAAGTATGTCAAATTATACCACATGGAATGGCCATAATAGTTTTGGGCCAAAAATGCATTCTTTTTTCTTCTATCTCATTCCTTAAGGACTATGTTCTACTGAGTGAGATGCTATAATATATAAACTTTAGGAATTACTACTATGGTAAGTGTGGTGGTTGTTGACAAATTGGATATATTGCCAGAAGCATGGTGCTTCTGGAGGGAAAATGTTGTGTTACATGTGTTATTTTCATCACTTCTGAGACCCTAACATTATTTCTTTCTTTACTTGTTATCAATTCAATAACTTCATTCTAAACTTTTCTTTTCCCGTTATGGCATGTTTCCCTAGTTCATGAGTTGTGTGCATTATTGTGGCATAATTGTGTTGACTGAAGCAGAAGTTTTTATGGCATGATTCGTGCTTATTTTTTGGTACAAGTGCCGCATCACTCTTATGGGATGATCATTTTTTAACTTCTCATATTAAATGTACATTTGTTAGAGAGCACACTTTACATTTGTTGGCATTATAGGAGTATTACTCGGAAGTGTGATATTGTGCCTTTTTTCTTTTAACTTTTCTTACCATAGATATAGGAGTCTAGTCTACCAACGAGTAATTTAGTGTCCTATTTTTACCCTTTTTTGTCTCTCTTGCACTTGATTAGGAAATTGTGAATTCTATTTAACATGGTTCAAAAAACTATACTGCCTCCTTTTGCTCCTATGTTTAATGATTATTTCAATGTCTGTTCTCACCTGCAGTTCATTCTATTTGGCTGATGATTTGTTGACGTGATCATTTTGTTGACAGCTCACTCCTCGTGTCAATGGGGAAATACCTGATGCGAATGACGCAACCTTAGATCATGAACGACTTTCTGAAAGGTTGCGATCTTGTCATATACACTATATCAATTTCACATTGATTGTTTCATCTTAAGTCGTTCACTACTTATAGTCTGCTCCCATTTAAGCTTTTACAAAACAAAAGTGGTTTGGACTTCATTTTATGCTTTAATTCTGTGGTTGCTACAATGTTTAATTTGTCTATTTCTTTTGAAAAACTTTGTGGCCTCTTTCCATTTGCCAAAAGGTCTCTTGAAATCTTGTTGGCTTCAAGTTTAAAAAAGAAACTCATTTTAGGCTTGTATTGTTAATAATTTTGTGCAATATATGACCCCTAAAAAGCTAAACCATTCCATTCTTACTGGCTTGGTATTTATTAATTTTGTGGTTAGCAAGAGTTCAAGCATGAGCTGTTGCATTCAAAATGCAAATAAGAAAAATATTATTTTTTGGAAATATCGAAATACAAATAAGAAAAAAGAGACAAAATAATTAAATTTTTTGGGTTTGGAAGTTGTATTCAAAAGAAAAAAATTCTCAGTTCAATTGCATGACTACTTTTCATCTTATTTCCTCACCAACTACCGTTTTGTTTCTTTTGTGAATTTGCTTCATTTTGCTTGGGTTTTTGTTAGTTAGGACACCCGACTCGTACCCAAGTCCTGGCAACATAGCAATATGACACGAAAAATAGACATACATCCTGACATGATGGCTGCAGATTTTGCATTTGATATCCGCCCTTTCATACTCTACATTTCAGATATCCATTTAAATGATTTGCTTTTATTTTGTTATGATGGTTTTCCCTCCTTGTTCAGGCTGGCTACATATGGTTTAGCTGAATTGCAAATCGAGGGTGATGGAAATTGCCAGGTCTTTCTTTCGGTCCTTTGATTAGTCTTTTCTCCACAATCACCTTTTATATCCACATTTCCATATAAACATGAACATATATGCAACAATGAGATTTTAATATTAGTCACTGAATATATATATATATTTGCATTATTACTGTTTTCTTGTCTACATCTGATGTTTTGCTTGATAATCTTCCATGATGGTATGTTTTTTGATAGTTTCGAGCACTAGCAGATCAGCTGTTCCGCAATCCAGACTACCACAAACATGTTAGAAGGCAGATTGTCAAGCAGGTAAGGTTAATGATCTCACAAATTCAAACATATCCTCACAGCTTCAGATATTATCCTATTAGATAAATATTAGCTATTGTGACAAAGGAGCCTTCCCTTTTCGAAATACCCTGACTGTTATTTCTCCTCATTAAATAATTGGTTTTCATGTCTTTGACTTTTATGAATATTTTCCCTTCTACTGTTTGTGAGATTTATGACATCTCTGTTTATATGGGCGAAGGTGAATGCATTATATAAAAGAAGAGTACAACTTCGGTGTATGCATTCCTGACAGTCTTAGAAATAAAAGCTTTCTTTTACCAACTCAAATCATATATTACACATCAATACAAGTTGAAGATCTCAAAGATCCGTGTATATATGTTGATGCCTTTGCTCCTACGAACAAGAGCATATAATATTTTTTGAAATACCAAACTAGCGAAAATTTCAATTTGGTATGTTATCTAGTTTCATTCACTCTATTATCATCGCTATCTCCTAGATCTAGGCTACATGAGCAATAACTGAGATTAGAATAATCATTTTTATGTTTACACCGACTATTATTCTTTTATGTTAATTTTATTTTCTTTATTTCTCAGCTAAAGCATTCCAAAAAGTTGTATGAAGGCTATGTTCCAATGAAGTACAAAAGCTACCTGAAGAAAATGAAAAAGTTAGACGTTGGTTCTTGTTGAATTTCCTCTTGATGAATATAAAAGATTTTTTTAATGATCTAAACCGAGTGAATTCCAACTCATTTAGTGCTAATTTTTCTGTTCCACTAGATCCGGGGAATGGGGAGATCATATCACTCTGCAAGCAGCTGCTGACCGAGTAAGCTGAAATTTCATCGTTTTGACTCCTTAGAATGACTCCTTGATACTGCTCCGTAGAAGCTCATTTTTTCCAAGCTATTCTCTATTGTTTGTTTCATCGTAAAAGAACTCAGATCTTCCACTATAGTGTATAATCTGTCTTTCACCCGAAATGGATACGATAATCCATGCAATACTTTGAGATTCTTGAGCGTGATAATCTGAAGTTCATTAAGTTAAGCTTATGCGGAAATGCTTAAACCTCAAAGAGTCCCCACTGCAATAATAAGCTTATTTTGTTATTCTATCTATTAACTATTTCATTGGGAAAACTTTTGATGTTTGACCTCTTCGGTATCATTTGCAGTTTGGAGCCAAAATTTGTCTAGTCACCTCTTTTCGTGACACTTGCTACATCGAGATCATGCCCAAACAAGCAAGTCCTAGTAGAGGTAGGTATTACAAAATCTGTCTTGCCTGATTTCTTACGCGGTCCTCCTTTCAGTTCCATGATAGAAATTTCATTTCTTATTAACTTTTTAATCGAGTTCATTGTCATCTGTTATAGTAGTTCTATTTTGAGCATTGATAATCGCATTCCTAAGCCACCATAGGCAATTTGATCCTCCTTTGTTTTACCAGCAGATGCTTAATCTAAGTTGCTTATTATTGTGTATTTCAGAAGTTTGGCTGAGCTTCTGGAGTGAGGTGCATTACAATTCACTGTATGCAAGTGGAGGTGAGACTCCATTTTCATCTCCTTTTTGTTTTATTGCATTATCTTTCATCCCAATTCTTGCTATTTCATTAGCCTGACTAATGAAGTCTCTCTCAATATATATTGACAGATGTTCCCACCAGAGCACCGAGAAGAAAGCATTGGCTTTTTAGGGGATCATATATATATAATGACAAACTTCCTTGTTTATATCTGTTATGTGTATTTTTTTACCTCAATGTTACCTTCAAAGCTAGGGTTTGCTGTTGTAAAACTTCATAACTATTTGATGACTCAAATTTTATTTCAACATACAAGTAATTAACATTCGGAAAATATATAGAAATGTATTGTCTGTACAGCCACTTCTACATTTCAATAAAATTTCCTACTTAATACAAAGAGTACTAATTATCAAACTATTAAAAAGGAAGAAAAAAGAAACACAAGTGAAGCTGTTGGAGCATAAATTGATCATGAAGCATGGATAGAAGCGCGAAAAGGCGGGCAATGGGAGTGGTTAAGTAGCCATGGATGGATGCAAGAAAGATGGTAGAGATGTGGACACTCGCCTAATATCCTGCAACGATCCCCTTCATCTCTTCCAGGCATATTGCTCAATTTGCTTCTTCTTCGTTGTCCTCTTCTTTTGCCGTCATTTCTTGGTTGCTGTCAGGGTTGTTGCCTTTAAAGAAGGCAGCGGCGGCAGCTGCTGCATGGATTGACGTAGATTGCAGCCAGTTTCAATGTCATTCGGCTATGATATAAACAATACATTGTTACTGGAAATGATGCGAAAACAATTGGAATTGGAACGATATTTATTGCTTTCTCAGCCTCAGCGCCTGCCAGAGGCATTGACATGTCTATCAAGTCTATACCCAAGACCGGATCTGAAACCTAATGAACTGCTTCAACGCTGGCTGTCTTCGCACTGCATGAGGACCTACCATAGTAATTTTGTTGGTGGTGCAGTTCCGATATCTTGACATTGGCGATGACAACATAGAAAATCATCTCCGCCCGCGGTTATTAACGAGCAAAGCTCTAAGAAGAGAACAAAAATGGCTGCACATAATAACTCAGAAAGAATAGAAAACAATCTGACAAGATTTGGTGGACGGCATATCAGATTAAAATCCAAAACAATGATTCTCTCGAGAGAAGAAAAGAGAATATATAAAACAAATATTGCTTGGCAAATAAGATTAAAGGCAAAGTTTTAAAACATGTTTGAACATTTTTTACATTATTACAGGTTGATTCTGACTGCTCAGAGAAGCCAGCCCTTCCTCCCACCACTTGAATACTCCATAGTTTCCAGCAAGGAAACACACAAAAGAAGAAAGAAAATAAAATCCAATTTGGACATCATTAGACTCCCTTGAACGATACCAATGAGGAGTGTTTCCAAAGGATCGGTAACAGACCGACTGTACATCCATTTTCATTCTAAACCACTAATACTACAACTGCTGCTGCTACTACAACGCCTCCAATCAGTATTGGAGTGTCTCAAAACAGAGCACCAAAATATCGCTCCCCAGAAGCTGAACTAACAACTTCCGGTCATCAATTCTCCCTCATCATATAACACATCATGTGTGTTACTATGATAAGTTCCATCAAATTACCCAATTTTTAGGGAAGGAAAAGAAGGGGAAGGGGGTGAAGAGGGGAAGGGGGACAATTAAGCAAATAATGTTGGCCTGCCCCCTCTAAACAAGACTCAAAAACTGTATAAACACATACCTCTTGCCTCTATTATCCCACTCACATCCTATTGAGTGCATTGTTACCGATCTTCACACACTACCCTTCCTTTTTCTTTACTAGCCCCTTACCAACTCGGAGTTGATTTGGCTAGTACTCACAGCAGGCAAATTGGATCCATTCATGGGCACAGATTGCTGAGAAAAGTCCATCAAAAGCTTCCTCTGAGACTCATTTGTGTGAGGAAGACTAGCTCGTAGAAGTTCACAGGGCATTTCACACCTTATAGCCTCTGAACCAATGACTTCTGTGGATGACTGAAACTGATTTCGTATTGATTGGATTATTGTCTCATATTTAGTCGCACAATACTTGGTCAGAAGGGTGAAAAATTCATCAAATGAAGCCCTCCAGAAGGCAAAATTAGGCATGCTGCAATTTCCAGAAGGATGACTTAGAAGTTTAGTGGCCCTTTCAAGAACTGATTTTAGAATAACAGAAGCACCATCCCCAGCTGAGCTTCCAAGGGCCCTAAGTGGAGGCTGCTTCGTAGAACAAACAACTGCAACAAGGCATGCACTAACCGCATGAAGATCCATTCCATTAACACACATGGAAACAGTCTTTGCAAGATCATTAGTTGTCTTGGTTGCTCCCAGATCCGAAGAAAGACCACCAAACAAGAATCTCAAGTGACGAAAAATGGTCATGCATGCTATTCGCATAAGCTCACTCCCAGGGATGAGAAGCTGAAGGAACCTAGTGATAAGCTTCCGGCCTTTTGCTAGGGAGACTAATCTTAGGAACACGATGTCATCTTTGGGAGCACAGCTAACTGCACGCACACCTTTGCTAAGTGGATCCACAAGCTGAAGTGATGCTGCCATGCCCTCAAGCAGGATCTGCCGCCTACATATGAGCTGAGCCCCACCATCATGGGGTTGACTAAATTGTATGAGCCGGTCAATGTCATCTAGTTCAAGAAGAAGACTGAAACCATCCTCAATAATGATTCTAACTGCAAGCATAGGCTCCTGCTCTAGAGGCCTCTCAGTTTTCTGATCAGAAGCATCACCTGAACCTAAGGGAGGACCGACTTCAAGTAGAGGACGCAGTCTACAAAGGGAAGAGAGAGAGACCTTCCCAAGAGCATCCACATTGAGATGCAAATGCTGCTCTCCACTGTTACGGGATCGAGAATGTGATTCCTTCTTACGAGATGGGTAAAAATGATGTTTAGCCCTGGAAGCAGAAGATCTTTTGGCAAGACAAGCTTGGTGGTAATAATCATCCACATAAGGATTATTACTATGTGTGGCAGCATGCTGTATCTTGAGAATGCTCTCTATCTCTTCACCAGTCATATACTTGGATCCGAATTCCACCAACCCACTCTCACTTTTCTGGCTACCAGTATCAGAACTTTGCTGAGAAAAACGCATGCTTTGCCTGTTTCTTTGTGATGATTTAGTTCGATGTTCCCTAAGATCAGCCAGTCCAAGCATCATTTGTGTGATGAAGGATGGGAATTATACAGTTGAGATTGCAATGCAGTAAAATGTGCTAAAGATGGTTGAGCTGAATGGTGTAGTCTCTGCTCTTGCAACTGCTGTTGAGGGGACATTAGGCCATTTAGATGAGGTACTTGCTGTTGCAACATATGATGCAAAAGACCAGCATGTTCTCCATGTAATAGACCAGACCGGTTAATCCAATTATTCTGCGACCTGCTACTAAAAGATTGGCCAGGAGATGTTAACTGGGACAAATTACCGCCAAAAGTAATCCGTGAGATAGACCAGCCAGATGAAGACTGGATGTGGAAATTGGAGCAAGGCTTGCTGCAGCGAAGGGTGACTGAGATCCAGTAGTAAGAAAAGGAATTTTTAGGTTGCCAGGCAAAGATTGTTGGCATCCACTACCAGGAGGAGGGAAAGATGTGAAGGTTGATTTGGGTCCCACAATTGGTTCTCTTGAGAAGTGAGGCTCTGGTTGCTGGTCAGGATATGATGAAGTTCTATACAAAGGCTTTGCTCCTGAAAAACGAGCAGAAGATGGTTGTGGCTGAGAAGACCATCTCTTGCCTTCTTGAACATCTTCAGTATCAAACATGAAGAGAGGCTCTGGTTGCTGCTGGGGATATGATGAAGTTCTATACAAACGCTTTGAGTCTAAAAAACAAACAGAGGTTGATAGTGGTTGTGAGGACCATCTCTTGCCTTCTTGAGCATCTTCTGTATCAAACACATGCTGATCCATCCAGTTGAAAAACTCTCCATCTTGAGCCCAGTCAATAGCAGAAGAACCTGAAAAGAATTTTTCACATGAAATATAAGCAATTAAAATATAAATGTTATCAACCACCATTGAAAAGAATAAAATCATAACTAGACAAATTGGCAAAGTTCAGATATTAACAATTCATGCGTTTTACACAAATGGAAAACTCTATTGGTTATCTTAAATGACTAGAAAGTTGAGGCTTAAACTAAAGAAAACTGTGCAACTGTAATTGCATATAATTCACCATGGAACTGTGCTGGGACAAGAAAAAGAACTTGCACACAAATTTTTCTTTTGGGGGTGGGGGCAATAAGCTTTTAAAAGAAAATGGAATAGAAAGTCAGCTCAGCAATATGCCAAGCATGTAATCAGGCAGGAATCTTTCCATTCAATCGAAATCCATTATCAGCTTTACATATATCCAATTCATGTGTTAAAGTTAAACAAATAGAATGATACAACATTTATGTTTTTTTCTCTGAAATTTGTGAGCATATATATAGAATTATTATCATATACAAAGTGTTTTCTTTTTTCAAATATCAACTGATATTATATGTTTTCACTCATCAATACAGATCATAACCACAACATACAGGCATAAAATATGGCATAATTTTACTTACTTTCCCTTGAAAAAGAATCAGATCTATCACCAATAACTCCTGGATTTTTTGGTCCCGCGACAACCCTATTCAACTGCAGGAGAAAAGAGATTATATTAAAATCCAATCACCATGAAAAGAAAAGAAAAGAAAAGCAAAATAGGTAGCAAGGGAACAACATAAAACAAACAAATAAGTGTATCTGCGGAATTACATGATTATATGCATGCTAAGATATTCAATCTGCCAACACCATGGTAAAACAACCATCTTCAAAATCTCCCCTCTCCCGTTTCAAAGTAGTTCATATAGGGTATGGAAGTAAAAATGGGAAGGCCAATAGCATCTCCGGAAACAGGCATATCAACTCTTATATACAACTGTTACTGAGAAAGGCTCATTATTGACATTCATCACACTACAACGTTTATAAATAAACAAAACATACCTTTGCAAAAGTACTAGCCAGATCATCCATGTCAGATAATGACCCTAAACCTCCAACCTACAAATTAAATAACCGGTAAATAAGAGCTCAAATAGTCATATTTTAAAATCAAGAAACATAGCAATTTGGAACCAAGGATAGTTTAGCACATGATTGATTACAGCATATAGATGAAGGGAAGGTGCCAATATCGTTAAGTGTTATATATATATAAGGCAAAAAAAATCAATTTGCATGAATACAGAAATCGATGGCATATTTTGCTTCATAACATGAACAGATTTCAACAGAAAGCTAATACAATTCACTTTGATGCAAGACAAAACAAATATAGGAAGGAATCAAATGTTCCATTAAAGCTTTAATTTTACGACCGCAACTTCCTGCATTCAGATATCCCTTGAAGTGTTGATTTGGCAAACTCGCTGAAAGGTTTAGGGCCAGAATCCGAACACAGATTAAATTTTAGGGTCTTAATAAGGATTCGCAGCTCAATTCGTAACCAAAGGAATGAAATTTCACCTCTCCCTTATCAAACAAACGGTACTCATCGTCTTCATTGGATGCAAATATAGGAGTTTCCTCTTCACCATCTTCCAGACCTCCAAACACCACTTCTTCCATAGCATTTTGACCAAAAAATTCATACTGGGAAGCATCAAAAAGCGCGTTATCTGCAAAATTCTTAACCAATTAGCAAATCAAACAATACCATACGAGTGAACATGCAACGACAATAAAACAATCGGGTTAAACGGTTAAGACTTAGCCCCGTTTGGTGGGTGAGAAAATGATGTAAAGATCCAAAGCTTCCAACGAAATATAATTCCTTTCGATCAAAATAATAAAAGGGATGGGGGGGAACGAAAGAGCAAACGGAAAAGAAACTTGCCGTCGGATCTGTCCATAATAACGAAACCAACCGGAAATGTAAACCCTACATACAGCAGCAGTTGAAAAAGAAGGAGAAGATGAGATTTTTTCGATTAAGGAGGTGAAGGGCAAGAAACGTAATTAAATGGGATTACGAGGGTTTTTATTTAGGTAGAATGAAGGAAACAGAGAAATAATTCTCAGTCTCTCTGACCTCTGTCTAGAGAGAGAGAAAGAGAGACGAGGGAGATAATAAAACTGAAAGAAAAATGGAACAGACTATTGATTTATTTCCTTGTTATTTAAATTTGATATTTTATGGTATTATAGTATTTAAATTTGATTTTTTATTAATAAATTAACATAATAAAATAAAACACTAAATTCTACATATTGTTCAAAATTTATTATTATTTATTTATAATTATTTTTATGATATTTAATTTAAATTATTTACTTTAAATGTTGATGATATTTTGTTAGTTTGAGAATATCACGTTATAACTTAAATTTTTAAAAATAATATTTTAATCACTAAATTATTTAATTCGAAATAAATGATTAATAATTGTATAAACATATAAAAATTGACTGTTGAATGAGATAAGATAAACCCCATTAATTAGGCCCACTTTTGTTTTAATTAAATTTTTAATATATATTATAAATGCCTTTAATTGTGGTTTTAATGCTAACGTTTTCGAATCTAAGTTCTATCGTGTGTTGACATTATTTGTAGAATTTTTAATTCAGATTTCAGATTTGTTAGGTATGTATTGTTAATTTTTTTATTTTAATAAATAAAAATTTATTTCTTGATAGTCCATCTCTGTTACATATTATGTTAATTTAATTTTAATTATATAAATATATTAATAGTAATTGGGATTCCAAATATATTGATATCATAATAACTTAAAAAAAGCACATTAGAAAGTAAAGATTCGATCTATATAAGAAAAGGAAATAAAGTAAAGATTCCGCAACAAAATAAAGTTGTATTCTTTTTTTTAACTCTCTTCACACAAAAAATTATATTTATTCATTTTCTTATATTTAAAAATATAATATAATTTAATTTAAATTCAATTATAATTTTTATTTAAATTGTGCTTAGGACACGGCCAATGCTATTCAAATTCGATGTAAATTTATTAATTATGTATATAATTTGTTATATGTATTGAAATAAAATATTATCATAATTATGGTACATAAAAAAATAAAAATAAATAAATAATGGAAGCAAAGTAAGTGGGTGTGTGTTAATGGGGTAAGCACATGCGAGCATTGATGAATTATTTGACTAAAGAATATCAAATCTTAATGTTTAAGGAATATTTATTTATTTATTTATACATGCATTGTATTTTATTTTTTAATTTTTTGATTATCGGAGGCCTTCCACGAAAGCTGCTCTCAACCTGACGTTGGAGACAACCTACTTCCCTACCTCCCTCTTACCCCATTACATATGAGAATAGAGTTTTGTTATTGTTATTGTTGTTGTAATGTTCAAGTAAAATCTTAAAATCGCATTTTACAAATTAAGTAATTTTAATGATTAAGAGAATTAGTGTTTTTTTTAGAATTTAACTTTGAGTATCGTGTATGTGAAAATATAAATGTTTTTATTAAATAATTAAAAATTAAATATTATCTTATATTTATTCTAAATTTATTTAAAAAATAAAATTGTTTTGATGTGCATGTATGGATTAAAATACGCAGTTAATTAACGGGACATCAAGTGCGCCGATTCACTCTTAAAACTGAGTTTTAATTTTTAATAAATTTCTAAAAGTTACGGGTTTAAAAGATTCCGTGAATTAATTGCATAGATCAATAGTTGTCACGTTGTATTAATGTATTAATTAACTGAATTAAGCTTTGTGGCCCATTGTACTCATTGATTATCTCTAGGCTTTTCGGCCAGCTGTACCTCTTCTTAACCATTAATCGATTGATGATTAAAAGAGAGTTAATTGTACAAGAGGTCCCAAACTATGACCCCTATTTTATACTGATTTTTAAACTTTAAAATGTTTCATATCACTCTTCAAATTATGATTCTTAAATTGGTTCTGAAACTTTAAAATGTTCTATATTAGTCCTCAAATTATCAATATTATTTCATTTTTTATCTTTCTATTAACGTGTCGTTAATTCTATTGATTTTTGAAGGTCTTGAGAATTGAACATGTAACTTTAAAAATAATAATTTTTAAGGTCATGAAAACTAAACTCGTGACATTCTAAAACAATTTAATATGTTTTTGAATGCCTTAAGAATATTTTAAATCACGAGTTCAATTCTCAAAACTTTAAAGAATATATTATTTTTTAACTAATACAATTAAAATATAATGATATTGATAGTTTGAAGGCTCATAAAGAATATTTTAAAAGTAAAGATCAATTTAAAATAATAATTATAATTTAAAAATTGAAATAAAACGTTTTTAAAGTTTAGAAGTCATAGTTTGAAAACATCGTTTGCGATTATCTCTTAAAAAAATTCAATACCCTTTGTCATTTAATTGGGAGAGAAGAAAGTAAAAAGAAAAGTAAAGAAATGAAAATCATATATATTTATGTTTTACAAAAAAGTTCAAATCTTTATTCTTTAATCATGCTTTATTCATCAACCAACATGGCAGAAGGGCTTTATTAGATTGCAATATGGTTCATGACATCTTTGTTAAGCGCTGGTACGTACAAGTGCAAGAGCCTCACCAGCTTGCAATTTCGTGGAGAGCCGTAGCTCTCTGTACTCCTCATAAGTAAACGATTTGTAAAGGCGTGGGTGGTCGGAATCAACCAGCTCCGGCGGCGGCTCTACCGTTGCCTCTTTCGGTCCCAAGAGGAACGTGGCGATCGACACTCTAATCGTTGCCTCCTTGCATTGCACTCTATGTCTCACAGTGTGTAACCTTCCATTGCTCCATACCTGAACGAGAAAAACAACAAGAAGAACCCAATCATAATACGAGAACAACAACAACACGATCATAATATGAGAAAATAGCATGACACGACACGAAAGAGAGTGTTAAGCTCACATTTGCCATGTCTCCAAGATTGACAAGGAGGCTGCCAGGCAAGGGATCAACAGGTACAAATTCACCAGATTTGTCCACTTCAAGGCCACCAACATTCTCATCGTCTTGAAGTATAGTTAGAAACCCAGAATCAGTGTGTATTTGAACCCAGTGGTGCCTATAGATTCTGGGGTGAAATTGTACTTATTTATCCTAAATTGACAAGGCCAATCCTTGCAGTAATCTCCATTCAATCCCATACTCTCAACTATTCTCCCCCCAATATCCATTATCATCTCATTTATTGCTTGAGCATACTTCTCAATTGTGTCTCTGAACCAAAATAAAAAACCAACCATTGAAGATTATGCATCAAAGAGAGGAAAATCTAAGATCAACAGATGAATCGAACATTAAAACGTGTGAAATCTTAAAACAAGAACAACCCCATCAAGATAAAATGAAAAAAAGGCAGACCTTTGTGAAGGAGAGGCTTCCAGCCGAGAACAGAAGTCACGAACAGCTTGGGAAGAGGCCATATCATAGAGACCCAGAGCTTCATAAAGAGGGTTTTTAGTGCTTGGAGCCCAGTAACCACTGCTGGCGATGACATCAGTGTTGTTTTTCTTGATTTCGATGGGGAGGTCAAGCAATGATCTCACGACTTTCTTCATTTCCTGCATCAATTCCAATGGGATCCTGTGATTCACCACCCTGAAACAACCCCACTCTTCGGAAGCTTTCCTTAGTTTCTCGTATTGTCCTGGAAAATCTGAGAAATCAATCGTGGGGATACTCTGGGTTTTTTCCATTCTTTCCACTCACTTTCCTCTTCCTCTGCTTTTTTCCCCCCCTTTATAATTCTTCGTAGGCAGTTTACAATAACTTGTATACAGAGTATATTAGAAATATAATAATGGTGAAAACGTGAGATTGGGCATGGATCAGACGGCAGCAGGGGACATGTTTTAGCTTCTTCCGACAAGGGTGATCCATTGTCGCAAGAAAAACAAAGAAACACACGACATGGTGTTTGGTTGAACGCAATGGCACATTGGCAATGGAGTACAAATACGGGAATGGTCAAAAGGAGGGGAAACATTTTTTTTTTTGGATAAGTAAATTTTTATTATCCAAAGGTCACAATATAAAGAATCCAAACAAGGATAAAAATAAGCTAATTACAATAAAATAATGATTATCATATGCTCCAATTAGTCATAAGTTGCATATTAACAAAATCAAGACTATTAGTAACTCTATTCCTAAGTTGAACGCTAACAATCTCTTTGATTGAAAATAGCAAATCATCAATGGTTCTAACACGTCATTGGAATAAACGTTTATTTCTTTCTTCCCAAACGTAGTAAATGAAAGAGCACCAGACAATCTTCAATATGGTTGTAAGGAGAGATTTTCCTTTCCAAGTCGAAGATGCCCAAGCAAAAAAAGAATCCCAAGACATATGAGACTTATCCAAAAGAGAAAGATTTAGAATTATATTCCAAATAGCAGCAACCATAACACAATCATCAAACAAATGATTCTTCATTTCAAGGCCATCATTGCATAAAATGCAAGAGTCAATGGTTGTAATTCCCATACGAGTAAGTCTTTCTCTAGTGGGAAGACGATCCAAGACTGCAAGCCAAGTAATGAAGTTGAATTTGAGAATATGAAGGGGATACCATACAATCTTGTGCCATAAATTTTTTCCATGCTTGATACGTATCTCTTCCCAAATGATTTTAGAAGAAGAAAGTCCTAAACTAAGAATTGGAATGGCCTCATATCTTAATTTAAAAAGCCTATTAAAACAATAGCTATAAGAGGGGAAACATTATTGGTGTCGACGTTTTCTCCTTTTTCATTGCATGGTAAACCGTGTCAGATCTATAAATATGTTTGAGGATGAACATATTAATAACATAAAATTTTTCATTAAAATAAATACAAATAAAATTTTAAAGTAGATATCATCAATAAATTAATTAATTATCGAAGAAAATTTAAATTTTAAGATAATTAGAAAATTTAAATTTCAAGATAAGTACGTGTTTAGACTCATCAAACAGTAGCATTTAGTCTTTTGTCGAAGCAGTGGTGATTCAATTTTTTCGAGGAGTTGATCCTTTCTTTTTCTAGTTTATGGCAACTCGGTTTGTCTGTGTTTGATTCAATGGTTTTATCGTCTTGTAATCTTCCATTAATTTCATGTGAAAGAATTAGTTGAAAAA